TTTTGGATTGCCAAACATTTGTACCACATCCATCGGAATCTCTTGTCAAGTGATCGAATAGTACGTGGCTGAAAGGAAAGCTTTGGCATCGCAGGTCTGAGGAATTCCGCGCGGAGTTCCCCTTTGGCGAGGAGAACTTACGTCAGTTCAGTTCAGAGAGAGGTACCGCGTTTAGGGTTGGCTTGAAGGCCAAAGGGCTTCTCCGCCACCGGACTTGTTCCAAGAAACCTGCACATTCTACCGGCCATCCTTGCTGTTGCCGCGTCCAGCATCAGTTTCCTATAGAAATTCCTGGCTACTTGACGGCCAAGGGCCCCACGGGCTGTCGGGCCCCAAAACGGACCGTCGGCCTCGGCAGATCTTGGCATCCGGCCGGCGGGTCATTCGCCAGAACTGTGTGCTGAGACCACACTTCCTGGATTTGCCCAGAACCAAAGCCGGGGATGAGCAAGTCTTGAGGGACACATTTTTTTTGGGTCAGATTTTTCAGGGCTCCTTAAAAGATACATTTTGCAACCATTTGAAACACGGCTTGTTCCACCAAAATAAACGGAAGCCACCATTTACAAGTTGCAATGCTCAGGTGTATTTCATGCATCCGGATCCCGATCCCAGTTTTTCAACGGAAGGCTCTTGACGCCAGGATGCAGTGACCAGACTGGTGAAGCTGGAGTTTCTCATTGGCTTCTGCATGATTGCAGTGGCGCTGTTTCAGGCGACCCGACCCGAATTGGGCGGCGATGGACCGAAAAGGGCTGGGTTGGGCTGCTGGTTGGTTCGGCAACTTGTTTTCTTTTGTGGTTCGTTCTTCCTGTTTTTTTTTTTTGTGTGTGTGTGTTTTGGGCTGGTTTCTGCGGGTCTGACTGGCGTCTTGCGTGGGTTCACGATGTTGAAGGTCGGTCTCCAAATCAAAGGCGCCCACCTTCGGCGGGTTTCGTGTACCACCGGCTAAACTAGCCTCACACGGCACACGACGCACCAATGACAAATGAGTTCGGCGCTCGTCTTGAGACAGGTCCTGTTCCAAGTTCCGCAAGGCTCATGGCTTTCCCTTTCAGTTCTGGAGCCTCAAAGCGATCTGGTAGCCTCAAAGAGATCTCTGCCTTTGGGTCCCTGAAGCTTCTTTGAACTCACCCTCACATCTGCTCCAAAGAATTCAATCGCGTTGGAACCGTTGCCCCCAAATCGAACCTGGCGGACGAATATGGGCGTCCCTCCAAAACGCAAAGGGCCAGCTTCACAGATTCTCAAGGGGAGCCAGCCCAAAATGCAAACTGACCGCCTTAGCCAAGAGATTTCGGCATGACATCTCGGCTTGGCCTTTCGTTTTGCCCGGGGGTGTGCTCCATGACCCAACCGCTTGCATTGGACACTCCTGAATGAAGTTGAATATGAAATTCTTTGGAGTAATTGGAACACATCTCCGAAATAAGTTAGTAGTAGGTCGGTAGGTATACATATATATATATATATTCGATCAGGAACGTATGTTTACAGTGAAAAGATGATAATTGAGTAGTAAACAATCCCTGTATGCCAGACAGAGTAATGTCCTTAGGATCTTAAGTGTGTGCCATGCCGGAAGTGCCCAAATTTTGAGAGGCCTCAAGCCTCATTGTCAGTTGACCTTTTTGAGGGGTCCATGTCAAAATATTTGTTTTATTTCCTCCTGTTGGCTTTGAACGCGAATATTTATCACTACTGGACATATGTTCTACACTTCCATTTAGTATGCATATTCATGAAACGCATCCGAGTTTTATGCACTAACTCGAACCTGTAGGTTCATGAAGAGTTTCAGCAGGGGCAGTTGTATGTGTTTTGATAGCTGTTGGGTGCTCTCAACTGGACGTCCGTTTTGGAACGCTTGACTGGGAGAGTTGTCTCCGTGCTTGATCCTGCGGACATGTTGGGGTTCGGGTTAATCTCACGTGAGTCCCTATGCTTCCCTTTTCAGTTGCGCGGGCGACGTGCCCTGTGATGAATGCCGGGCTTCCGTCTCCGTTGTGTTGACGGAGACAAAGTTGCAAAGAGGGTTGCTGAAAACAAGACGCTCCTCAGCAAATAGCAACACGCACAATCCATGAAATCTGTCTTCTGCCTTCTGGTCATTTAGCCAAGTGGCTTGTTCGGGATGATCAAGACGGTTTTTGGGGTCAAGTCATTGGACATGCATCCCCACCTAAATGTTCGCCAAAGGGTCCCCTATTAAAAATGACACCCAACTCCATGTTGATTTGATGATTGCCTGGAGTCGCCCAGGCAAGCGAACCGTGCAAGGCGACCTGAGCTGTGCTTTTGTGGGTCACCGCAAACAATTTGGGAAGAATAGAGATGGAGCCATACACCCTTCAGACATGAAAGGAATGGCCATCTCTTCGCGCGGTTCTTTCCTCTCTTACCCATCTTCCTTTATCTTGAGCCAATTGATGCGAGAGAAAGAGATGGCTGAAAGAAGAGGCTGGAAGGGAAGGCCTCTCTCCATCACTATGTTGTCTTTCCCACTAACATGCTTTATTGGTGTGAGGGAAACAATATATGATTAGAGGACAATGATTATATGTATTGTAAATGAGATTCCAAGAATAGCAGTTGACAGCAACTATTCAACATGAGCATAATATGCTTTTAACATATAATTGCTGTGTTATGTCTTGTCTCTTCATGTTATCCCCGAATTTATGCATGTTAGTGGGGAAGTGGCTGGACACACATCTCCATGTGAAGCATGTTCAACGGGTCCCCAGACCCGGAGGTCCTGAACCTTGTCTCGGGATGTGGCTGTGGGTCAAACACAATGGTACCAGTTTGGGGTATGTGCACCACCCATTTTAGAACCTATTTTAGTGGGGATTGGGATGTTCACTGGGGTACGATTTGGATTTTGACAACCACAGCCGTGTGGGTTTCTTCAAAAGCCCTCTCTCTCTCTCTCGCAGCTGCGAACGAACGATCCCTGCCTGTCTCAGCCGGGGCTTTGCCGCGAACTTCCAAGCGGAGAACCCTGCATCCGGTTCCTGCCTTGTTCAAGTCCCTGGCGGCAAAAGCTTTTGGTGAGGTTTGTTAGGAAATCAGTGCCATTGGCTTGTTGCAAAATTAGCCACTGACATCTGGGAAGCTTGTTGGCCAGAAGACGATAAGACGACCCCGAGAAGCGTGGTGCTCGGAAATATCACCAGTTCCGTAATACAACAAAGGGCCATTCCCATGACTACTTTCGACCAAGTGCTTATTTGGACCGGGTCCCAACGGAAAACGATGACTTTTGTCCTCCCAGACCGTGACCCAACAAAGCAGCGGTAAGGCAGAGACATGGTTTGCCATTTCGCCCGAGCTGTCCTGTTCCAGTCGGGCTATAACCCAGGTGGCGAAGCACGACAAAGTTCCAGAAAGTTTGGCCAGATGTCGCGCTTTCCGTCCAGCATCTCGGGCTCCCCTACGGCGTGAAAGCCCTCAAGGCTGGCCAGGTTTGCGCACAGCACGCCGATGGCTCCCCGAGCCGCCTGCCCGAACTTATGCTGCCAAGCAAGACGGAAAAAAGTGGCCGGGAGCTTCTGCCAGCGAATCTGCGGCACGTGCCAGCTGACACGTCGTGGATAGGCTGCGCGTGCGCGTGGGCCACTGCAGCGCCTGAAAGGAGAACAAGAGACACGAGCGTGGAGCGGCAGAAGAGTTTGTTCGCTACCCAAAGCTGTGCTTCAAAAGGTTTGGGAGTTGTTCAAAGTTCATGGCATGTCCAGCACCCAACTACTGTCCGGGGGGCAGGAAGGAATCTGTCCCAAAAAAGGCCGTAGGTAGAAAAACGGTCGTCGGAGGGTGCTGGGTGCGGTTTTTTTGGGCTTCCCTGCAAAAGGGGGTCCCTTTCAGGAGGGTACCGGCCCATAAGCCGCCCACTGGCCGGTTGGACTTGGCTTTGCCTTTTCGGTTTTTCAAGGCAGCCAAAAGGCAGCACGTCCAAGTAAGTTTGTGGGTGTATCTTGAGAATCTCGCATTTGGGTAAGTTTGACTTGGTCATTACCCTTGTGGCTTTGCTTGGATAGCCGTTTTGGGGATTGAAGGGACGCTACTGGGAAAGCACCCCCAATTTAAGGGTTCAGAGAAACCCCTAGAACAAAAGTAGGTGCCCTCTGCAGCCCGAAATCGAACTTGAATCAGCCATTTCGAGTTGAGGAATGCGAGATATTTCACAGGGGTCTCTATATCTCGCTTGTCGGTTGCCACTTTATAAGATCCCTTTTGCGTGATGTCTCAGGGTGGCATATACGGAGCCCTGCCTCATTTGAACGTCAATTTGGGTCCCCTGTGTTTACGTCAAGTGCTTGCTGGGCTATTGGCAAGGTGCGCCGATAAGATTCCACTCGGCGGGGGCAGAGATGCAAAAAGGGTTGCTTCATGCTTTGCGGGGGGCTGGATCCCTCCCAAACGGCTCGCGATCTGGAGACAGACCCCAACGTAACGGCTTGAAAGGACATTCGCATTGTGGTCGGCATCGTAAGCAACTCATGGTAAATGCTAGTGCCCTGCACCAGAGGCTCTGCATGATATGGGATGGTTACTCAGCCTGGCCGACACGACTATTGCTTCTTGCCTCTCACCACTAATTATCGTAGTTCCTGCTGTGTTCCCTTTTAGCAAGTTCCAACATCAACCAAGTTCAGACTATGAAGGTCGCTTGGCGGATCACCTCCATCGAGGTTGGCAAAGCAAGTTCTAGTTGCTGGTGCTCAGTTGACCCCGTTCTTATAGTCATTGGGATGCAACTCCATCAGTGTAAGGGCGCCATTTGCCGTCCAGAAGCTTATGAGGTTCCCCAATTTTACATTGCCAGGCTTGGCTTCCCTTAGTTGTTCCTTGGCTTCCTCGCAACAAGTTAAATTACTGGGGCTCGCAGCCGGCTTGCCAAAATAGGGCAGCCCCTAAAATGGATGGTGTTCCTTTGGTTCTCCAACCCCAAAGGGTACCCCCAACCAAAACAGTCGGCAGTCGCGGCACCTCCCGAGGATCGTGAAGCTGGAGCTGGAAGCCAAGGACACGGAGCCAGAGGCTGGACGTGAGTTTAAGAGTTTGTGTTCTTGAGGGTGGCCATCTTTTAGAGCGGCTTGAAGGCAAACCAACAGGGAAACGATCATTTTGTGGTTCACCCTGTTTGAGAATATGCGTACGGTCTAAATTTACTGTCATCTGCTGGAGTGCAGGAAATCCATGACACTGGGTACACGAGCCCCAAGATACCATTCGGAAATTGCTGGTACTCACCAAGATCAGTGACCAAGGGACACCAAGATCCAGACCTCCAGTGGCGTTTCAGTTCTTTTTGGGAGGGGGGTCCGCCTAGCAACTACCGGTACCCAGAAAAGGCGCCTTTGTTTCCAAGTAGGTTCTGGGCTGACCTTCCTTGTTCTTAATCCTTCCAGATGGTTTCCCTCGGTGAATGATGAGGGATCCACCCTTTAGGGAGTCTTAGCGACAAAGTCGTCGTTTGGATGGCCCGCTTTGGTAGTCCAAGGGTCATTTCCCCCACGTTCCAAAAGGTGAAGCTGCAGGTCCTCTCTGTGAGGTGCTTGCCCTCAAGCGGGTTCCTCTCTCTTCCTCCTCCCCAACTTTGGGTCAGTTATACACATCACCCATTGGCCATGATAGTCTTCTACTACCTGTTTAGGTGGGGTTTTGGTAAAGCCCACACAAATCTTTACATCGGTCTCCTGCCAAGCCAGGTGATTCAAGAAAAAGTGCACGCGTTGACCACAAGGCGAGGAACGCGGCAATGGACACGTTCCGTGGCCAGCACCCAAAACAGTTGGCCGATTTTTCGCGAAGGGGGCTCGTTGCACCTTGAAATCCAAGCGAAACCAATGGCTATGGGTCCAGGCGGTGCTCCATTGAGTGTTTTGAGGCTCCCCGCCCAGGATACAACCATGGTAGATTTTTTTTGATGTTTCATTTACTTTCCCTACGTTGTAATTAGCCTTCTTTAGGGGCCTCCCCAGAGGTGGCTTCCAATAGCCATGTGATACCAAGATCGGTGTGGTCCTTTGCACTGACTGGGTATGGTGGACGGGCTGGTCAAGGAATCAGAGCATTCCGAAGCATCTCTTTTAGAATGCAAGTTGATTTCAAATGGAAACCCAGCTGACCCCGAAGAAGAGGTTTTTCCGCTGTTGGGGGCATTGCCCCCCTTGGTAATCCAGCAGGTTGATTCAGCGAGGAAGTTGGACACCTGTGGGCCATTTGAGCTAAGTGTTTCTGGAATGGATTCACCCAACCTGTGAATTCCGCTGTGGTTCCCCTGTTGAACGTGCTAGGTTGTGACATTGGTGTGTTCTCTTTCACATGCTCTTTGTGCTTGGCCTATGCACACGTCCCCTAAGCTGCAGGTTGAAGGCAGCTGATTTAAGCCCTCGGAACACAGGCCCAGCTTGGATTTTGTGTGTTGTTTCAGGCAAGTCAGAACCAAACATTCGTCCTTGGACCACGCAAGAGATTGTAGCGCGTGCGGCCTGACAGACGGCGGATCCGGAACCGACTCGACCTTTGTTTTTCACATTTCGCTTTGCGGAGACTTTAAGTTGTATATATTTGTATATTTTGGGGGAACACCGCTGTAGTGGCAAACAAACAAGCTTGGACTTGATACTTTTCTTGAAGACGATTCAATGGCAAATAAATCGAACTTGTTTAGCAATACCACTGCACCGCGCCACGATTGCCATGTGGGAGAGCACGGGGGTGGCAAGACCCGAGGGCTGCCTGGGGTTCGGCACTTCTGGCCCGGAACTAGTCTCCTCGCAAAACCAGCCCAAAAACGGGTACCTTCACAGGACACCCAAATCTTCAAGCCTGCTTTGAAGAGTTCCCTATGCTGGCTGACCCAGAATGACCTATGTGTTTTTCTTGCTGGTGCGTTAGGCAGGGAATTGAGGGAATGAACCCAGGCTTTGGTCCTGTTGGAAACAAGAAGGGATGGTTTACACATTCCCTGCGCGTTTTTGGCCCTTGGGTTGACCCATTGGTTGACCCATTGGTTGACCCATCTCCCGTCTTTCGCGAAGACGCAAGGCCCGGCCAACTGGGAGCTCTGTGGATCGGTACACGAAATCATGAACGGACCAGAACCCAATCTTCAATATACACAACAGCATATACATATATATATAACTTATGTATATAGAATATAATATGTATGTGTTTGACAATATATATATATATGTATTCTACAACACATTTTTACAAAAGAACGTGGTTCTATGGTATGAGCCCAAAGATTCGGTTCCTAGCTGACAGCCCCGGAGGCTGGCCGAGCTCAAGGCGCCTGAGCCAGAAGCCCGCGCCGGACACCCGGGAAGGATTGAGGGTTTGGTCTCGGCGCGGGTTTTTCGGCGAGGTCCCCCAGCTAGGTGCCCAGTTCCAGACACGCAAAAAGAAGCAGGTAGGCAAGGCAGGGCGAAGATGAGGGATCCTCCAACTAGGTCCTTCAGCTAGGTGCCCTTTTACCGTTTCTTTTTTGGTTGGGAGGGTTCCCCTACCAAAAAGAGACAGAAACACTTTTTTGGGCTTGGAGCATTTTAGAGGTAAACAAAAAAAGTTCGGACTTGTTTTTGGCCCAATCCACTCGGGAACCTTCGGCAAAAGACGGGCATTTGTCCATGTTTTCTTTCGGGGACCCCCCTTCAAGTTCTACCAAAAACCGGGGCCCTGGTGGTTCCATGGCCCGGACGCTTTTCGGTGGCTTTGCACTTCTCTGAAAGTGGACAAGAGGCTTTTGGACGGCCATTTTATCGAAGCAACCCGCTGGGCTGGTTGGGACATGTTTGTGGCGGGGTTTGCCCACTTTTTCCGGAATCAACGCAAGAGCACAGGTTACGGAGAACAAGGGTGATTCCGGGGTAAGGGAGCTGTGGATGTGACAGAGAAAGACAGCCGGAGGGTTTGGGATTTTGTGGGCTTCTGGGTTTGCCGAGTGCCTAAGCGGCATTGTGTCGCAGTAGAGGCGGCAGTTGGATTGGAAGCATGCCCCGAACTAATAAAGTGACCCTCGTGCGAGGACTTTTCATAGCGGACTGTTCCATTTGAGGTGTGCCGCTTCTTTCAACCTGAAGGCCATTCAAATCAAGGCTTGGGACCCCTGAGATGGTAAAAGGGGTGTAGGTTAAAACCCAGATACCTCTTCTCATGGGTAACATGTCTTTTGTTTCGTTCATTTTCTCAATTGGAATCTGGGGGTCGGCGGTCTCCAAATTCCAGCAGTTTGCCCTAGCGGGGTCTGACTGGTGAAGCCCCCCGAGGCCAGGGTACCGCGGCAGAGTGCGGCGGAGAACCTCGCAGGAGGCCTCAGTTGGATTCACGGGGCTTCGGGCATTTTGCAAAACGCCGAAAAGGGAGGGGGAGGCTTGGGCCAAGGAGAGCCATGAGTTGCGAGGCTTGCAGGTTTTCAGGTTTTTTGGGTCTCCGTTCGACACATACCCAATTGGGAATTGTCCAAAGCGCCCTCCATGAAGCTTCATACCCGAGCGTCTTTTCTCCTCCAAACGGGCGGCATTTCTTGAAGCCTCGAGGTAGACTTATACTCGGGGGGTAAGTAGACGAAATGAGTTTTCCCCTGCCAAATTGGTCTAAGTCTACCTTCAACCCAATCAACAAAGGTCTAACAGACACACAGTGAAGCAGACGTGGGCCGGGATGAAGGCGAACGGCGACTCGTTCTCTTAGATGGCAGAAGCCAGGGGCTTGTCTCAAAATGGACTCCCAAACTGGGCTGGGGCCGTCGAGGTAAAAGGATGAACAAGGGGTACCCTCGGCAAAAGACGGGTATTGTTCCCATGTTTTCTTTCGGGCCCGCCTGCCCTGGTGGTTCCATGGCCGTCCCGGCGTGGCTTCGCTCTTGGTTTGTTGCTTGCTTCAGCTGCTTCAGCTGCACTTCTCTGAAAGTGGCCAAGAGGGTTTTGGAAGACGGCCATCTTATCGAAGCAACTCCGCTGGTTGTTGCAAAATGTCTGTGGCGGGGTGTTTGCCAACTTTTTCCGGCCGCAACAAAAAAGCGCAGGCTACGGATACCAAGGGCGGGTGATTTTGGGGGAGGGGAGCTGTGGATGTCACAGTGAAAGACAGCCGGAGGGTTTGGGATTCTGTCAACTTCGGGGTTTGCCGAGTGCCTAAGCGGCATTGTGTCGCAGTAGAGGCGGCAGTTGGATTGGAAGCATGCCCCGAACTAATGAAGTGACCCTTGTGCGAGGACTTTTCATAGCGGACTGTTCCATTTGAGGTGTGCCGCTTCTTTCAACCTGAAGGCCATTCAAATCAAGGCTTGGGACTCCTGAGATGGTAAAAGGGACAAGAAATGGGTGTAGGTTAAAACCCAGATACCTCTTCTAGGGTAACATTTCTTTTGTGTGGTGCATTTTCTGGGGGTCCGCGGTCTCCAAATTCCAGCAGTCTGGTGAGCAGAGCCCTCGGATTTCTCGACAAATTCGCTGAGGCCCGGCCGACGCGGCAGGATGCGGCGGAGGCGGAGAACCTGGCAGGAGGCCTCAGTTGGGATTCACCGGGGCCCGGGCCTTTTGCCACCGAAAAGGGGGGTGGGGGCTTGGGCCAAGGGGGGGGGGGCGCTGGCCATGAGTTGTGAAGTGTTCCCTTTGCAGATGTTGGTTTGAAGGGAGAGTAACAGGGGGAACCACCTTTTTCTTTGGTTTTGGTGTCCGTACTTCAACAGCGACACATACCCGATTGGGAACAGCTTCAACATTTGTTGGAGATATGGTCCAACCATGTCCAACAGGCCCTTCATCACGAGACCCCAGAGGGTCCAAAATGGCCCTTGGTTGACTGTATAAACCTATACAGTCAGACTTGACATACTCGAATGTCTTTGCCTCAAAACGGGCAGAGCGAACAAAAAGAAAGGAGACCAACACCCGGATGAAGGCGACTCATCTTAGAAAGACACCAGGGGGTTGTCTCAAAATGGACGGGACCCAAATTGGGCAGCCACCTTTTCCCAACGGGACCCACAGAAAGACCTTGGAAGCTGGGACCCCGAGGTTTGCCGGGGACATCTCGAAACCACCCAACATAAAAACTCATATCTTTATACGTAAGACATACTTATGTGAATATATGGGAGGGAAAACCCGAGGGATTCCAAGGGTTGATTCCTTCCATGAGTTCAAACCATTGTTCTTTTCGAAAACCGGCCGTTTCCATGGGTTTGCTGACTTTTTCTAGAAAGAAGCATCCCTGGAAAGAATGGGGAAGGTAGCACTAGAGGGATCCCATGTTGGTTTGGGGATCTCTGAGATCGGGGAGCCCCTCATCCAAGGCCGCCATTCTGATGCTTCACTCTACTGCGGCGCTGGGGAACGCGGGGGCCCCGCCCGGTGGCCGGCGCAACGCGACGCTTCCCATTGGCCGGGTCTGGCGAAAACTGCCAGAGGAACCACCTGGTGTCAAGGGGGTTACAGTATAGTAAGACACCAAATTGTCTCTATCTCTCTCTCTCTCTCTTCCTCTCCCTCTCCCTCTCCCTGCCGCTCTCTCTCTCTCTCTCCCCCTCTCTCTCCCCCTCTCTCTCCCCCTCCCCTCCCTCCCTCCCTCCCTCCCTCCCTCCCTCCCTCCCTCCCTCCTCTCTCCTCTCTCTCTCTCCCTCTCCCTCTCCCCTCTCCTCTCCCTCCCTCTCCTCTCCCTCTCCCTCTCCCTCTCCCTCTCCCTCTCCCTCTCCCTCTCCTCTCTCCCTCTCCCTCTCTCCCTCTCCCTCTCTCTCTGTCTCTCTTTCTCTCTCTCTCTCTCTCTCTCTCTCCCCTCTCCACTCCACTATTGTCTTCTCTTTTTGTGTTTTGCTTTTCTCTCTCTCTCTCTCTCTCTCTTTCTTTCTCTCTCTCTCTCTCCATTTCTCTTTCGCTCTCTCTCTCTCTCTCTCTATATCTGATTCGCTGTGTATATATACGTAACTATATACTAGTATAAGTAAATCTGCATAGATACGCGGAAACGTTGTTTCATTATCATCTGGAGAACAAGCGTCCACGGGTTTCGGTCGCTGCTGGCATGGATTCTCATCCATGGGTTGTCAATCTTATCTGCGTTTATGTGTATGTACTTGGATACATCGATGTCGGATTTGGAGTTGAACATAAAATAGTAGCTTGCGTATACTTCATGTTTACTTAAATACTACTTCCTTGCTGACTTGGTTACTTACTCGCTTACACAACCGATGTGGGAGAAAGCCGAGGCCGGCGGCCTGCAGCGGCTGCTGGCGAGCAAGTGCCTCCCCGACGCCCCGGACGAGTGTGGGGCCACGGCCCTGGAGAAGGCCGTGGATCGAGCGAGCCGACCGACTGGTTCGAGGGGGTCAGTCGGAAGCTGGCGGGTGGTGTCCCATGAGCCCGCCACTTAGAACACTTTGGGGTGATCAAAGTCAGAAACTGGTGGGTGGTTTCTCTTTAACTACCACCAGGGTGACTTTGATAGTGGGAAATCATGGGGTGAGTGTCAATGTTGTTCTATTTAACGAACAATAACCATCGCATTTGTACGATTTTTGAGCCACAGCCACGTATGCATAGGTGTGCTTCTGGTTGAAAATCCCCGTGGTAGATGGAAGAACCAGGTCAAGGGCCATGTCTGATGATTTTAGTCTGATGATTTTAGAGCGAGCTCACCGGTGTAACGAGCTCACCCAGAAAGGTCCTTCACTTGGGGATCCAAGTCTTGATTCAGGCTTTGCGACTCTAGTCATGCGGATCAATGCAGACACCCCCAAAGGCCTTTTGCCCAGATCAATCCCAATGCCCAAAAAGCAGTGGTTGGGGGGGGGGAGGCCGGACTCCATTTTTGGGGTCCTGTTTTCACACAACAAGCTCACCGATTCCAGGGGTGGAAGAAGCTCAAACATGCCCCATATTTCCAGCTTGGAATTCGAGTAATTTGCCTGGACATCGCGTGGCATGGGGTTTTGGTGCGGGTGAAAAGAAGGGAGCCTCTCCACAGCCATTGTCAAGGGGCGCACAAAGGATGCCCCCCAGCCAAAATGAAGGGCACCCGAAAGGAACCCGATCAGCCCCATAAGCACAGGCTTATGAGTCGCTGTTAGCTCCCATTCAGATTGGGGAGGGGGGGGGGGGGCAAATCCGCAAATCCTATTTCGGGGTTTTGCTTGTGATCCACCCCAACCGCGCCCCCTCTCCGGTCCACCGCGCCCCGCCCCGCCCCAACCCTCCCCCAAAAGCGGCGATTTCTTGCCGCAGGCGTGCCTCAACGGGCACGAGGAGTGCGCGCGCCTGCTGCTGGAGTTCGGGGCCAAGGCCAAGGCGGGCTATGCCCAGCGCGCTGGCCGTGTCCTTTGGGAAGCCCCGGTGCAGGGAAGTCTCAGGTCGAAGCCTTTGCCCGTCTTTTGGGGAAGTTCTTGGGGAACGCTCTTGGTTGGTTGGTTCAAGGGAAACCAACATGAAACCAAGCCTTTTCATCATCATGGCCCTGGGGTGTTGATTTGTTACGCCGTTTGGCTTTGCTCCAGTTTCCCTTCCGGCCAAGGAAGTTTTCGGTCTGAGTCTGGCAATCAACAGGGGAACCGGCTGGGTGAACCGGTTGGCAACCAACCCTTTTCGGGTGAGGACATCCCCTTCATGTTGAGACCTGTGTCTCCCAGCCGGACTCGAGGCCTGAACCCCAAAACAGGGTCCCTATGCTCGGCCACGAGGGGCACACAAAACGCTCGGCAGAAGTCACCAGGGGATGAAGGCTTTGTTTTCTCATTCACCAATCAGCTTCATGGGGCTCAGCATTTTGTTTTTTGGTTGGTTCTTCCACGCGAAAAGCACTTGAGGAGAGACTCGGTTGAGTTCCGATTCCCGATCCGTAGGTTTTCTCACGGCAAGTGGAGAGAGTATTTGCTCAGGTACCCAAGAAAGCGTGACAGTGTGGGCAGGTTTGGCCGACATACAGCGTTTGAGTAATTATGTATGTTTGCGTGTAGGTATGGATCGAAATAGGATTTCCTTCGGAAATTTTGGAGGTCAAGCACAGGGGGATTCCTGCATGGGGTTCGGAATCCTTGAGACTCAACCCCGGACGCCTGTCGAACTCGGAATTGACCCAAATGTGCAAACCTGGCAGACTGTGAAGCGCGTGTTTCTTCCAGAACTCATCCGGATCCCCTCTTCAGGGGGGATAGTTGTTCGTTTCAATCGTGATTCAGGCGTTGATTCAACTAGCTTCCAATTGCGTTGATGTTCTCTGGCGTTTGCCCATTGCCAGGGCCTGCCCGGAGCTCCCTCCACGCCTTTGCACCGCCGGGACACACAGAATGACCAAGGGACCTATCGCTTCAAAGTGAACAAGTCGCTGAGCGGATGGCTTTCTTGTGTATCACAAGGGTGAAATTGTCCATGTCGCAGAAACCAGAGTTCCAATTTTCGTTTACTGCCAAACCATCACCTGGGAAAAGTGGGATGCATACCCTGCAGAGTGTTTGTAAACCTTTTTTGGCTTGGAATCAGCAGAAGCCGAGTAGACTCAACCCATGGGTTTCGTGTGGAAATCAACCACCTCATGCAAGTCTAGCGAAATGTATGTCTGATTTCGAGACCCGTGCTCCCCTTCAAATCAGATATCGTCAGCATTCCCAGGGTCAGACCAACTTCAGCAACCATTCCCCGTTGCCTTCACCGGCCTTTTCGCATTTTCCCGACATGTGTCCAGTCCTTTCATCCTCAGCCTTCACCCTCTTTCTAACGCTTGGTGGCTCCCAGTCATCCCCTTAGCCTTTTAGCTTGTTAGTGTTTTTGTTCTTCTCCATTTAGCCCACTAAAAGTTATTCACTTTTAGCGGGGATCTGAGGACAGCCTAGAATGGGGGTGGACAGGGGGCTTCCCCAAAACCGCCGTCCAGGGCTACACCAGGGCTACACCAGGGCCAGGACCAAACTGAGCGCTGCCGGTTTCGTCGCGATCGAGCGAGGCGCCGCCATTTGCAGCACCGGCGTGGTGGCCCGCGGGCGGCTGCTGCGGCTGCTGCTGGACTCCTGGGGAGGGGGGAGGGGGGAGCTTTCTATTTCTCCAAAGGGTTGGGGTCTGGAAAGGGGAGTAATGTTAATCGGACTTTGGCCCAAGTCTTTGTGAGCCAAGAGACCTTCCCGTGAAGTTGTCACGGGGATTGGCCACTTTGGTAGCTGGGGGGTTGGGGGGCAGGGGGGGTTGGCAGAGAGGTCCAAGGCTGATTCAAAGCCACCGAGCCGTTGGAGGTTGACGGCGCTCGTTTTGGGGGGTTTTCCTTTTTTGGTAAGAGGAAACCAAAAAAGAAACCTCACCCATTTTGGGGGTATCCCCCGCGGGCTTTTGATTTTATCACCTCCTCTAATGAAACAGGGTGACCTAGGTGAATGTCCCGTTCTGTGGGGAAGACTCAAAAATGGAAGTGAGCCCCATTGGGGCAGCCACTTTAGGAAAGGTGCGATTTTGTTGGGTGCCTGGGTTTGGGAGTGCCCATTTTGAGACTGACAATTGTTGGGAGTCTCCTACAACAAATAAGTTTTGGACTCATTTAAGTAAAAAATATCGAAGGAAGCGGTCCTAGCTAGTAGCTCTGCAAGTGGTTGGGGATGGTTCGGGCCCTGGAATGGGTCGAAGCCCAGGGTTTGCCCGAAGCTCGGGATACGTCCACAGGAGCACCTCCGTTTCCCTCTTTGTCGGAATGTGCCTTCCCTCGGCATCGGGTGAGAAGCGGCTTCCAAAGCAAACGGGCCGTGGTTTGAGAGCACTTCTTGTGGCAGGTGCTTTTCCTTTGAGGAGTGGTTCAAGGGGACATCATGTGGACCCCGGATTAAGCCACGGTTTATTAATGTGGGGGTGTTCCCCTCCAAAAGTGGTCTGAATCCTCACTAAAACCAGGGAGAAGCACCCCCATATTAATCAACAGGGGTTTACGAATCCGGGGTCAACATTACAGGGATCAAGACCTGCTCGGTTTGCAGAGGGTTCCACCCTGACATTCCAGGAGTACTCCGCGACCCCCGACTGCAAGGACTCGCAGGGATGCCCAGGAGGTTCGGCCCCGCGCATCTTCCCCCGCCCCCGCCCCAGAAATCCGCTCCCTGAAAAGCTACAGGATCATAGGTGTCCTTTTTGGTTGTGTTGGCAGAAAAATCGATGGCCCTGGTTTACCTGGTGGTTTAATCATCTACAAGGGCCAGCTATTTCCCCTAAAAGGACACCTATGTACAGGATGGACGGCTCCCTCAACTGGCGATCTGGAAATGAAGATGGGTGGCTGTTGCTTTCTTAAAAGGATGCAGACCGTGCTTTCCCCATTGGCTCACAACGAACGGCAAGACTAGGATTTTTCAATCGCTCCCAGACTTGGGTAGGGGGGCCTGTATGGTGTTGCTTCCTTGTAAAGCCAACCAGCACGGGGTACCAATGCCAAACAACGGAAGAATCATCATGCCCTGCGTAACGAGTTTACACCCTGAGTTTCCACCCTCAATCCTTTTTAAAACCAGAGGTGCATTTTGCTTGGATGTTAGGACTCTAACTTTTTGCCAACTACTGGGTTTTCCGAATTAAACCACTAAAAGTTATTCACTTTTAGCAGGGGAGCAGCAAGCAATGGGAGAAACCTTTGAAGGGGTCCCCAATCTCTTGCGGCTCAGGTCCGGGCGGACCGCAGCTGAGCTGGCGGCCGATGGCTCTGTGGAGGCAAATGAACCAGAAATGGCTGTGTGTGCGCGCGGCTGTGTGCGCTTGTGTTTTCGGAGGGTTCCCTTTTTCCCAAGATTCGTGGCGTTGCCGGCTGCGAGCGTCTGCGAAGCGTGCGCGACGTGTTCGTGAAGTGTCCACGAGTGTCGCACTTGCCGTGCCATTGGGAAAGCGGAACAAGTAGCACACTCGGAGCGACTTGAGAAGTGCTGTTTTAATGTGCCTGTGCGAAAAAAAAGAATAGCTTTTGAGACGCGACGTGTTGTTTCGTTGCACAGTCACAGTGTTTTGGGGAAGCTTACTGTTATTACTTCCTTAAGCTACTTCATCATTATCATTGTACTAATCTTTGTTCATTATCCTAGAGCAAACCAATGTCACGCTGAGCCCCGACGGTGACGCTGGGGATGTGGCTGTTGCTTCATTACTCAACACGACTTTGGCCTCAGTAGCACCATTGTCAATGCATAGAATTCAAATGTGATGTTAGGCCTTAGTGGTGATGCAGATCTACACTTTTTGCGCAGGCGCAGGCAGGTTTGAGGCCGAGAGATGCAGCAACATCCCCAGCACATTTGAATTATATAAAATGACCACGAAGCAAAAGCAGAAATGAAGCAACTGTAACATCCCTGGCGCAGCTAAAAGCTTTCCTGACACTGGGCGGCAGCCCTGAATTTATATATTCAAACTCTGCTTCAATAAAAGACCCAGAAAATAGGGAGGGTTCAACCCGGGCCCAAAAACAAGTCACACCATGCATCTTAAGGTGTGGAACATGAGTAGATTGCAAACTGGGTGAGGTTACGGGATGCAGTTGTGAAAGTACATGCTTTCCCATTTCGGCTTTGTCATCTTCTTCATCTACAGACATAATTAAAGGGAATGGTGTCATCTACGTTCACGATGGCGTACCTTCCTCGGTTGGTTTCAAGCCGAACTGGAGTGCAAAGCACCAATTTAGGGTACCTGACTATCCGTCGTTCCAACAAAAGAAAACTTGGTTCGAATCGCTTTTGATGTCGAAATCAATCTTGGAGGGAAGTGGGCGGGGGGAACAGTTGCCTCCATTCGCTTAAGTCCCCTGGACAACATAATGATATGTGAAACAGTGATACATCCCCTTTAAAGCCAGCAGGGGAAATAACGCGTTAGTCTTACATGGAAGCTAACTTGCAGGGAAGCTCTGTCATCAGCACGACATCCCAAAGCAAGCTGGACCCACTCGGGGCTTGCCTCAAATACGCCCTCCTCATATTACGGAACCTGACTGGGCGTGGAAGTCCATTCTTCTCTAGCCATGACCTAGTGGGTGCTGTCTTTGCAGGAGGGCAAGGGTCCCCCTATTTTGGGAAATGGGGTTGTTTCAAGACACGGGAACCCAAAATAGTTTTTTTTCCATGTGTTCAACCCCCAGCAAATAACAAAGAAACGCCCAAGCAGCTCCTTGGGCACGACAAACGGAAGCCAGCGAACCATATGGCGTCAATTCAACTCATCTTAAAACATACACACTATGCCGCTACTAGGAACAACAAGGGAGCTCAAATACTTCTCCAAGGTAGTGCTGACCCCGGAGTGATACACTTTGCGGATCAACAGGGCATGTGTTTTCTCCGAATGAATCGGCCCGAAATGGGACACACCCATCCAAATCATCCATATCCTTGCGGAACCTCGGAACCCTAGCAGCACCAGAGACCCTTGGATTGGCCAAAACCCCGTAACTGTCGCTGCGGAAATACATAGCCTCTGCCTCCCAGGTCACCCAATTCCTCTTCTGTCGTGCCGTACTATTAACAAAAACTGACCTCACTTCCTGAGTGAATTGGAAAAACATAATTCTTCAAACGTGTCCAAACGCTAAAGTAGTCCGAACCCAAGGTATACCAAACTAGTCCAATCCTCCGAAGAAAAAACAACGGGCCTATCGTAGCTTTTGCTACCTATATGATAATGAACACTGCTTCTTACAATGACAATGACAATGAAGTAGTTTCATGAGGTAATGATTAAGAAACACCACAATGTACTGTGTAATGAAGCAACCGTGCTGAAGGAACACAATGAAATGATCCCCAGCATCACACCTAGACACGAGCCGCATTACACGTTTGGGCTGCCGTGCCGTTGGGATTTGCATTTCAGGGGTGGTCGTTGCGAGGTGCTTTGCCTGGCAGGGGCGCGCAAGCGTTCTCTTCAGACGGGGTCTTGGGGAGATGCTTGTGGGGGATATTTGCGGGGGTTTCTTTCACGGTGTCGTTGTGGTTGTTTGGGCGGTTTTTGAGGGACGCCTTTGCGGCTGTCTTGGGTCATGTGTTGTTTGTCTTCGGGTGTCTTGGATGGAATGCCTTGGGGGGATGTCTTTGGGATGTCTTTGAGGGTTTCTTTTGGATTTTGTCTTGGGAGATAACTTCGAGGATGAATTTGGGGCTGTCTTTGGAAGGGGTCTTGGCGGGAAGTCTTCTCGTCTTTCAGGGGTGTCTGCGGAGGTTGTCTTTTCGGTTGTCTTGGGTGATGTACTTCGGGTGTGTTTGGGGATGTGCTTGTGACTTGTCAATGGAGGCGTCGTTGGCGGCATCTACAGAGTCTTCGTTTGAGTTTTGTCATTGCATGTGTCTTCAGGACATGGCTCCGAAGACGTCTAGCAACGACCTACACTGCAGAATGGCGCCAATCCCACCTATGTTTGAGACAAGCCGAAGCTTTTACCACTGCATGGTTCCTTACAAACACCCCCATGTCCGGAAACAACCATGAAAGCGAGTTTGTTTGCCATGTCCCCACCACGCACATAAGATGCCAAACCGGGGACCATTCTGCGCCGACCCTTTCCCTGCTCAGGCCGCCGCCGCAGACTTGATCAGAACGCAGCCAAAATGACACGCCGTGTGCGCGTGGCTTTGTCGAGCCAGGGTATTCCATTTGATTTGATTGGTGGCATGTCGAATCTGAACCGAGGACATTTTGCAAAGCTTAATGTTACAAAATGCTGTTCCACCGCAACACTCATGTCGACTTGGACAGCGAACACATTGTTGATAGCCAGGGCTTGTACTTTTCGAGCAGCATTGCTTCCCGTACCCCGGGTGCGATTTGATGCTCGTCCATGTTTCCAGGAATGCGGTCCAGGTTGCAATTTGTATTTGAACGTCGCGGAAGCTTTCAGCGCGCAGTTTATCCGCAGATACGGGGCATGTGTAGTTGAGTTCAGGGGCGTTGGCCACCCAACGTTACGAGCATAAAGCCACATTTGACCACGTGGGTGTGACAGACAGACGTACCCATGCGTTGATGCAAGCGGGCCTTGGGGCTGGTTGGATTTGTTTTTGTGAAATCGGGCAAGCATGATGTTTTCATGTTGAATCACACAAGTCCAACACAAAGGCGCCCCAGCGTTGCAACGAGTTTATTGTTTATTTTTGCCGGTTCCCATGCTGGGCCCATCAAATATGCCGCCAGACGGGCAATCAGAAATCAATGCGCTTGGCTGGTGTCATGTTTGCAGATGCAACCCCGGCATCCTGCTCGCTCTCGGCTGCCCATTGACCCCAGGGGAGCGGGGACACCTTCCTTGAACATGGGATTGGGGAAGAGGGGTGTCCCTGGAATTCCATTTCTGTTTTTTTTGAGGCTACCATTTTCGAATTGGTTAGGGACAACAGAAAACAAGTCATCACTTTTCGTGGGGCGTCGTTCCGTTTTCCCGTTGCAAGAAGCTTAACAGCTCCTGCCTCAAATCCTGGGAACCTCCGGGTCGAAGCCCGTAGCCGACGCTCACCGGAGGCGCCGTGGAGCTCAACGACATGCTCACCCGCTCCGCCGTCTTCATCCCATTGTGGATCATGTACCCCCCTGCTCGGCCCGCTCGGCCCGGGTTTGAGGTTGAACGAGCTGCAATCAACCGTGGCTAGATGCGGGTCAAAGGACAGTCTCAACCAGAAATGGTCGCGGCCACCCTTGTGATACATAATACATGTCTTTGCGCAAATCCTTTTCAGGTTGAGTCGACGTGGAAGGCTTCGGGGCGTCAAAGCACTAAGATAATAATCCCCCAATCTTCTCGAAAAGCAGGGGTCTTCATTTTGCCAGAACCGTCATGATGTCCTCGTCCAAAGGTCCTTCTTCCCAGGGTGCGCGCTCAGTGGTTGCTTGTTCTGTACCTGTGCCTCGTTGTTCGAAGTGATGCGGGGTGATGAGCAAGGAACAGCTAAGATCTCTGCTCCGGACATGTCTTCCTTGGGCCAACTCTTGCGCTGAAAACACTGCGACGTTTACCATATAGAGCGTGCAGCTGCTCATGTTTTTGAGTCATTGCATTCCTCCTCTCAAGGACCTGTTTATACTGCTGCCCTAAAAAAAGAGACCATCCAAACATGCCCAGGTGGTATCCGCAAAGCTTTAGCTGGGAAAGGGGACTTCTCCAGGCCAACACGGGTGTCCGGCCACTTTGGATCCCACGAATTAACATAGAACCTGACAGGGGGACAGGGGGATCCTGGAAGACCATTTTCCTTTCAAAGGGACCCCCTGTCAGGTTCTATGTTAATTGACAGGCGGGAAGTGGTCAAGAAGTTGGGACCAGTGCCAGTCCAGTCTCCCTTGCCACCGCTGGCGACTGTTTGTTGTGTTTGCGCAAGCGAGCCAGCATTTGCCCCTCGATTTTTCTTGGCTCGGATATTGAGGAGCAAAAGCTCACTGAAGTTCTGTGCCAATCAAGACATCACTTCAGTCAAAGTAGTCTTCGTGAGTCAGCTGCCAAGCCCAAGCGAGCAGCAATGTAGCGTTCCAGGGATACTGTTTACATGGTAGCCTTAGTTGAGTTTCAGTTCAGGGTGCTTAGCTACGGCCCCAAAAGGAACCCCACCGAAACCGGCCGTAGACTTACCTACACTCGCGTCCCGGACGAGCAATCGCCTCATGCCGCCATGTCGGATTCCGGTACACCGAGACCTCCAGGCGAGGGAGTGGGCTCACGGTTTTAAACGACTGGCGACTCTGACTGCCTTCCCTTTTTTTCGGGGCCTCCTACAGTAGTTTGTGGTTTTAGGGTAGACCAACTATGGAACAGAATCCGAACATTGTTTCCTGTGTACCCCGTATTTGGGGCATGGGCAAAAGGAGTCGAGTTTGGGAGCGCTTCAAGACTTTGGACCCCGACTTGGTGAAGCTTTCGATGGTTTGGGAAGAGACCTCTAGGCGATGGGGAGTTTGTTCTGGGGAGCAGATGCGCCAAATTGTTTGCAAACGGTTAACGGAGCCTGTGCACTGCCGTTACATTTGATACGGCAGTGGAATTTGTCGGGTAATTCGTTGGCAAGGAGTTATTTGCAGACCTGAATTTATGGAACAGCACACTCTGTCTTGAACCTTGCAACAACATGATGTGTTTGGAGACTCATGTTTTTGTCTTCAATGTCTCATCGGGAAATTCTACCAGACCAGGACCTTGCCTCACGGCTAAAAGGCTCAGACCCTGCTCAGCAGCTTTCCCCCAAGACTCAAGTTCACAACTGAGGCACTCTTTGGTTTTCAGCTGGCCTCTTTACTATACACGCAGGCCAGGTTGATGCTATTTACTCCTGCGCGACTGATGTCAAAGCGAGGTGGCGCCCCCAGTCGCCCAATCCAAACCCTTTGGGAACTCGATCAAGACACCGAAGCTCGGAGAAAAGACAAAAACAAAAGCAGCCAGATAGAATACGTCCCAAAACCTGAAGTGGATCCCCAACATATTACCTCGTTTTTTCCCCCCATCGGCAGATTAATGCATGGCATAGACCAATTTCGGTCAAACTGGTGGACCCCCTTTTGGTTCGTAGTCGAGGGCACAAGGCAAACTGTTTTCGGGGACCACTAGTTTCGGACACTTTTTCCTTTGGGGCCATCAGACACACACCCGGTATGATCAGTGCTTTTGGACCCTCAACCAACTCCCTTTACCCTCATGATGGTTCTCAGGAAGCCCACCTGGCCAATATTGCTAAGAACAGAGATCGGCCTACCTAAATCTTCCATTCGCTTAAGCCGATTTTTCATGTTCCCCTGCTTGTTTTAAAATTTATCGCTACCTGAAAAACATGTCTATTTGTTCAGAGGACTCAAGCAAATGGAGGACATCTGTCGAAAAAGAATCGCAGGGCCAGCGCCGGCCCGTGTCTCGCCCCCCGGCTCTGCCGGCTCCGGTGGGCGACCAGCGCCGGGGTCCGAGGGGCCACGTGGGTTCCACAGATGCGGATGGACTGGTCCTCGGTTGTGGTTTGTATCTCGAAGTAGGGAAGCCAAGGCTGGCCTTTTTGGTGTCCCTCGAAACCAAGCCAGAAAAGGTACCCTCAAAACACCATGCATGTCCGCAGAATGGGATATGGACCCCCAAATGAGCGATCTTCCTTTGGTTTCCCATTGAGCATTGGACCAGTCTTGTAGCAGTTTGTCTAGGCATTACCAAGAGGAAGGGCTTCAGTTTCACGGTCCGTTCAATTTTGAACTGAGGTGCATAAACTGGCACTACATAATTTCGGAAAGTTTGCAAGCACTTGGGCCGCCAATCTGGTTGTCTGATGTTTGGGGTTGTCCGTAAAGAGTGTGTCTGGGTGTGTGTTGGCAAAGCTTATTCACACGTAGGGTGTCTGGCTACTCACTACCATATCAGGTGACCCAAAGACAGGTTGGCGACCAAAGATATCCAACATTCAACCTACGGAACTGCAAACACCATGATATTGATCAGCCGTTCGTTGACTTGTAAAGCTGTGTCATTCGACCAAAGCTCCTCACCCACCAGCACTGCCAAGACGCCTTTAAATATAGTGTG